CAGTATTAAATAAGAAGATTGTCACAGAGTCAGTCAGTCTTGGTCACAGGGTACAGTCAGTCAGAGTCCAGAGTCCCCCCCCCCAGCCGGGTCCAAGCTCACTCTCATGACTGTAGCACCATCCTTCCTTCTTCTCTCCCAAACCCATGGCTATCCTAACCTTTATCTTCTTGCAGTTATACAGCCTTCTATGGCCTGAGCCAGAGACACAGTCTCATGCCAGCTCCACACCCCTTCTTCCGAGCATTGTCTAAGATGTCCAGTACATGAACTTCTAGGTCGTGTTGACCTAGCGTACACTTCCTTTTTCTAAACATGAACAGAGCACACGAACCGTTCACATAAGGCTGAAGCTATGTCCATTCCCCATTTAAGGAGGAATTCGCTCTTGATGTTTACCCATAAATTAAACAAGGAGGATAAAGCCCAAGATATTCTTGCTTGAGCAAGAGAAGAGAAGAGAAACAGATCAAGCTTACATAAAGACTGCGCTCACCCTTACATAACTATTACAAATAATATCTATATATGAACTACATACTATTCTATTACATATTGCCTCTGGACTGGTAACTTGTTTGTTTTTAACCACTACAGTCCCTCCTCCCATAGTCTTTAGACTACGGGACTTCTAAACTCTACAAGAAAACAAACAACTGCAACAAAAGCAAAAAGGAAAATCAAAATATGAACATGTTGGCCTGAGCCTTTAACACTTCTAAACTCTAACAGCTTTAGTTAAACATTAACCTCTTCTTACATCTAAAGTTAAATCTAAAATAATTTCTTATTACAGAATTAACCACTCCTCAAAAAACCTTTAACCTTAACAGAATATTTCCCTCATACTCCACTCAACCATAACTTCGTCAAACAACACAGTCAGTCAAAGCTCTAGCTTCTCACACCTTTACAAAGTTAGTAGTGATTAACTATGGTGAACAAATTATATGAAATAACTTCCTATTGCAGGACTCTAGGAGAGCCCTGCACAAGAATTCCTATATGCCTAGACCAAAACCAGCTGACTCAGGAACAGCTTCTTCCCCACAGCTGTCTCCTTACTGAACTCTGTCCCCCGTTGACCTCCCACTGCCTTCCTCTATACCACTACAAACCTCACCCTCTCCTCCTGGGACTAATGCAATGCTCTTCTGTTACCTGTAACACTGAGGTGATCTGTTAATCACTTACCTGCAGGCATTGTTACAAACATTTAGGTGCCTAAGGGAATCTGAAATGTTGTGAACAAAATTGTATATTTAGACAGATTCCGACTGAGGCAGCAGTTGCCTCAGGGCCTGTTCACACTGACAGCAGCAGTGCAGAGGCCAGAACTATTTTGGCTTCACTTTTATCGCAGTGCTTTGTCATTCAGGTACAAGTACTGTCTTGCATCTAATTAGCCTTCAGACTGGATTTGCAGGTTTACAGTTTACATATTTGATCTTCTTCACCTGTAACCTATATCAGCACAGCCATACTGTTTGGCAGTAATGTGGGTCTGGATGCCCCAGTAGTGGGGGGGGGTAAGTGATTAACAGATTACTTCAGTGTTACAGGTAACAGAAGAGTATTGCAAAGAGTATTGCATTAGTCCCAGGAGGAGAGGGTGAGGTTTGTAGTGGTATAGAGGAAGGCAGTGGGAGGTCAACGGGGGAGAGTTCATATATATACGGGGGGTTGTCTCACACAGCTTTAGTTTGATTTGAAAGGTTTGGTTTCACTAGTCAAGTTTATGAGATAGCCAACTTTATTTAGATTTGTAATGATAATTACTGTAGTTACTATTATTGTGGCTGATTTCCTTTACCCACCAGGGCATGTCAGCATGTTGTATTTTAGTCATCTTACCTGTTTGTTATGGTAGGATTAGTACCAAAGTCATCTCAATATCCAACATCCATAACTCAATCGTGTTAAAGTCCTATCATTTTAAAAATCATATGAAGTCAATATCCAGGCATTACCTTGTATAGAGGTTGAAGAGTTTAAGTTTTTTACAGTTCACTCAACAAGTCATATATATATATTTTGACATATATGACTCAGATTGTTTGTCTCGTTCTGCTCCAGGACACACAGAAATCACACTCTTACTTGGGCAGGTGGAACTACAAGAACTGTTCCAACAACAATGACAAAGTCCTATGTGTTACTCTACCACGCCATTCTCCTCTTGACAAGGATTGTGTGGCTCTATCAGCCAATGTACCCATTTGCCCATGTCATATGGTCGCCCAACTATAACACGTAACTGTTGGTCGTAATAACCTACTTGCACAAATGACATATGTAGTTTTTAATTATTTTATTTTTTACAGAACATAGGGGAGATAGTGGAGGAGCCCTGTGGTAAGGGTCGATCGCACTGCAGCCATTCAGCTATCAGGGCAGCCTCAGAGTTTTGCAGTTAAATTACGCACATTAGTGGAATAAAAAAAGGGAAAATAATTGGTGATATACTCCAAAGACATAATCATAGGTATGAGAAGCTTTCCACCTGGTACCAGGCAGTAGTATATCATTATCCAGTCACAGCACGTTATCAGCCATGACGTTAAAAATCAGGAGTCCATAAAGTGTATTCAAATTTAGTGGATTTATGGACAACATCTTTCTTGATTATTTCATTGTCATATTTTACACAGTATCATCTACTTTTAATATAGTACTTCTGAACAAAAGCACCTCAGATTTGATAATAACACAACTTGGACTTTTGTGCACACTAAAATTATTATAATCCGTGAGATGTTGCAATATTTTGGCTCATGTCTTTATGGGCTGTGCTCTTGTTTTCGCACTTTCAGGATAATACCAGTGATTACTTAACATACTATCACTATCTGTTATAGACATTAGTGACTAATGGACATGATTTTAGTATATCAGTCCTACAAATCCAAAGACAGAGGGCTCCATTTTCCTGCAAGACGGTCCCGTGCTAAACTCGTATCTAAACTCCAGGCTCAAGGTAAATATGGGTGTGTTCTCTGGTTTCTGCTTCTGTAACCAGCAGCAGTTATATAGTGTTATTTACTCACAGCTGCATCCAGTGTGTGAAACCCATGGTGGTCTCACATGTAGCCTTATAAACGTTTCACTTCTTTTAAAGTAATACAATAAAATCATTGTAAACATTGTGTTTATAGTGAAACTGACTGTGGTCCACCAGGGCACAGCCGGTGGATGTGTCGCCCACTTTATCTTCATCTACAGCTGCTTTCAAAGCTGATCAAACTGTCATAAAATACAAAATCAGACACAACGTATGTCCCCATAACAAAGGTGTGTCTGTGTGAAACTTGTTAGTTTGAAGAAGCTGTAACTTGACAGCAGCCAGTGAGGTGGAACTGACTTTACCTGCTGCGTAAAAGGATTAACGAAGACGTCTGCAGGGTGTTTGTTATTTATCTTGGCTCAAGAGCTGTTTTCATGTGTTATTATGTGTAATGTTTTAACCTGGGATTGGATTCCCAAACACCGACGGCTGCATCCTTTAAGTAGCCTACAGATGGTGTGTCCAACAACACTGTTTGACCATGTTCATACAGTATCTATGGCCACACGCTGATGTATCTTATTTAAAAATAATATTCACGATACACAATAAATGATTAAATTTTAGTGAATTCCAGCAGATTATTTGTGGATGTAAGGGTTACTTTTAAGTCGGTGTCTGCTCATTAAAATACATGTGTGTACCTGATCGCTTCCCGCCCTCTCAGGAAAATTGCAAATACATCTGCGACAGCGATAAGAGGTGAGCAGATGTTCTCTTTATCGCTATTTCGGCTCAACTCCAGCACCACAGTTGCACTGCGCTGCTTAGTCAGCACACGCACAGCCTCGACTGCTCCTCTCCTGCCACCTCAGCTTACGCGCATTTAGTCATGGCAGGAAACTACCGAGCAAATCAATGCGCAACCGACGTGCGCCCGAGAAAACTGCATAACGACTGTGAATGAGGCGACGCAATAATTGCGCTGGCAGGAGAGTAGGGCCCAGACTAGTCTTCAAATGTTTAATCTAACCGTAATTTGTAATGCGAACCATAGCCCAAACCTTACAGTAACCCTGCTAACCTGATGCAGGAGTGGTTTCAGCTGTAGGAGTGAGCGTTACACCCCCAGTGCTCCTGTCAGTAGGCAGGTAGCACGTCAGTCCATCTGAATGAGTGTGACTGATGCACTTAAACACACAAACACACAGAAACAATACAAATGAGTAGTTTCGCAAGATCTGGAAAATCAGGTTTGGTTGAATATTCACACTCGGTCCGATTAACATGCTGAATGTGGCAACAAACTCCAAACCTGAAAGTCGAGTCCACATTTGCTCTTCTCGTTGTTACGCGCTTAGAACCATCAGGTCCCACATACATCCTTGAAGGATAAGACTGAGGACGTTTTTCTTACTGTTGACAAATGTCTCGGCCCGGGTTTGGAGACTACAGATTAGTGAAAGAAGGAAAGCCTTTAAAACTGGGGCTGTTTGAAAGATGTGGACATTTATCAAGCAAGAAGTGTTTAACACAAATACCATCCAGTTGGATTATGGCAAATGGAGAATTCAGTGTTATTGTGGCTGGACCATTGTTTTCTAGTCTGATGCCCAAAATGTAGCACCCCTTTAATTTTTAATCATTTAATATATTTATTGCCATTTTACTATGCCCTTTACTGCTCAATCTTGTAATTGGAAGACTTAATGACGTGCATGCTTTTTGTAGTGTACGGTACATGTCAGCCAGCCTCCACATCAAATGTTTAGCAGCTAAAGTGCTGAGTCATAGATGCACTGGGTAAGATGGGTAATTTGCTAAATTAGATGAATTATGTTATGAATACTGTATGTACATACTGCTCCTTAAAGGACCATGTAGTATTCATCCACCAGCTTTAACCCCAAAACTAATCCTAAATATTACATAGAGCTAATCCTAATTCTAAATGTAATGAATCTTATATGCACATGAGTAATGGAAAACAGCCCACATGCTGAGGAACAGTTATCTCAGCTTACTGTTGCTGAGATATTACCGGTGACCCATTGGATGCTGTTGCTAAAGGGCTTAGGTAGTATGCAGTAAATACCCCACCAGTGATCATAGCTGGACTGGAGAAGATCTGGCACAGTGCTGATAGTTTTTTCTCATGTAATACTTGGAGGTATTTAGACTATCAGAGCCATGTGTGTCCTGATCAGCAGCAACAACCAGGAAGTAAACATAATATGTATCTCTCCCACTTTAGTCCCTTCTGTTTCTTTTCCATTCATTTTTACATGACGGCTCTGTGGGCAACTGTTTCAGGCTCTGTCTATTGATACTTCACAACTCCTACACTTGGGTTGAAACCTATCTCCACTTACCCACCAGCACCTATTAGATTTGTTGTCACATTCTATCACACACTACTTTTCTGATGGTAAAGCAGTAAGCCAACAAATTGGTGCTTAGCTGGACACATAAGAAACAGTGAGGTCAACCAAAACCTTTCACACCAGTACATTGTCTCACAAAGTGAGGTCAACCAAAACCTTTCACACCTGTACGTTGTCTCACAAATGTTATGTTCTTATAAGTACCATTGTTTATATATACACAGTACTTGTTACTGTCTGTTATCCCATATACAGTACTTACTTTGAGACAGACAGTGGTGTTGAAATGCTTTTCGGTTCTTGCGAATGCACCACAGGCTGCTGTTTAGTCCATTAGAATGGACCAGATACTAACAGACTCCAAAAAACTGAGAACTCCACGTTCAGAGACATGTGAAACTCACCGATTCAAAGTGAATGAGATAGGAAGGGTTTTCTACTTTAGCAGAACGTGCCTTACCTGTTCTGATGACTGAAGTGATGTCAAAGAAGAGATTATTTTGGTGTACTTTCTGCCACTGGTGAGGGATATATCAAAGCTGTCTTCAGTGCTGAACGTAATCTCCCTCTCTAGTCTCTTCTCTGATACTCCTTGCGTCTGCATTCTTCTTCCTTTTCCTTCCTCCCCTCTTGTCAGTAACCCATCCCTCCTTACGTTTATCTAATCCAACCTGCTTGACAGGTGCGGTATGACTTTCAAAATAGTTTCTATTTCTTTCTCTTCCCATACTTCCCCAGCAAGCTGACACTCCGCTCTGATCAGTAGGTCACATCTATTTAATTAATGCATATACAAGATATTTATGTGAAATGATGGTACATGCACGTGTGCTTTCACTTATTCTAAACCTCTTCCCGGCACCGTGTGGGTGTGATACTGTGTGAGACATTACCTTAAAGAATAATGCTAGTGATATTCTATTATTTGCTTATTTGCTACAAATCCCATAGACACTAAAACCAACAGTGAACTTTGGGTCCGCACCATAAAGTCAGTGAATCCAGACCCTGGTTTAGTTTGTTCAGATGGGCTGTAGACCTCCATTCTTATCTGTAAACTTCTAGAAACACACCAGTGAGTCACACCTCTGACTGGTGACATTTCTTCCTCATAAAACATGTTAGGTATGTCTTTTGTCAGAAAAGAGCTCCCAAGTCTAAGAATGGCTGTACAGTCTCTGAAGTAAACAAAAAAAAAAAGTCACCCTGTGACCTCAGCTCCTTCTGTCTACTTTATGTGCAGTGTAAGAAGCTAGCGGAGTAGTGCCTTTCTGTACATGTGCCTGTCTGCCTGTTTAGCTGTAAGCCTGGTCTGTTAAACTCAACTCACTCCATCTGACACTGCATGTCTGCATTTGTCTCCTTCCCCGTTGCCTTGTAAGCCTACCCCCACCATGGCTACTGGAAGAGTCGTCCCAGGCCCTGGTCTCAGACATAATGGCACAGCTGAAGAAACCCCATGATGGGCACATAACAGCCAGCCAGGGGCATTTTAATAGTCAATCAAATACACCATGTGTGGTTACTGAGCATGCTTTTTGCATCTTTGGTTGATTGCGGTATACCCAGTTGTCGGGGAGGCTGTGGCTCAGCTGTGGTTCGATTCTCGGTTTTTCCAGTCTGCATTTCAAAGTGTTGTTGAGCAAGACACTGGACCCCTACTTGCTCCTGGTGACTGTCCCATCAGTCTGTGAGTGCTTGTCTGAGCAAATGGGTGACTGTGAAATAGTGTGAAGCATTTGAGTGCGCTTCACTGAGAGGAACATATTTCACTTATCTAATATTCAGAACTCTTCCCGTCTTTGTTTTCCGTCTCTATCCTGGTCCTGCATTTTGCACACCTCCACCCCTGAGCACATTTGCTAATCTCACATTGTGATGACAGATTACATAACATTGTTTGCATGTAAAATTGGGAGCCAGTTCTTGAGCTCTGGCCATTGCATACAAACCACATAATGTCACAGTGCCTTTATGAACTTTTAAAGCAGTATTTAAAATGTACTGTGTCTGAACACCTATTCACCCCAACATGTACACTGGTGGACATGTGCTCCTCCAGTCTCATGTGGTTTCAGTCTAGATGAACTCGAGTAATTCAATATTTATCACTGTCAGAGGACTGCCCATCTCTACTTCAGGATTTATATACTCTCAAAAAGGCGAGAGAGATCACTGATTAAACTGTGATGCTCTGGACAGCGTTGATGATCGAGACTCTTACCAAACTTGCCCAGAACAGGGAGCCTGGACAGCTTAGGATGGACATCCTTGACCATTTATTTCTAATGAGGCAAGCTGACAACCAAAGACGTGGTTCAGACAGCAAAGGCTTTCCTCCTGAGACTGACTGGGATTTCTGGCACAACTTCACCTGCATCCAAGTTTCATGGAGAAGGGAAGCAACACATTTATTGTGAGATCAGTGCATTTCATCTTGTGGCCTTTATTAGTCAGGGGACTAAGCTATAACCTAATAAGTGGCTTGTTTTTCCTTACAAGTGGGGAAAGAAACTAATAGCAAGATTCATTTGCAGATTCTACTCCCCCTACCTACTGCACCCTAAATACTCTAAGTTTAGAAGAGCATATACTGCCATCTTATGGTAAAATAAGTGCCCTACAACTAGCTTGGGACTTAGAACTCCCATCACTGCTTTGACTCATCTTTAGATTAGAGCAACCACAATCTTATTTTCATCTTAAAAACAATTTTGTGAATTATTTGCCTGTTAGACACATATGGCTGGCTTTGTCTGCAACCAAATCTGGGTTTAGTACAGGAACTGTGGTTGTGATGGGAGGGTGTGCCAATGGCTTTGAGAAGGCAAGCATCAATCAGTTCAGTGTATTTCTTGGTAACGATGGCAAGACTGTGAATGCAGCCCCAGTATTAACATCACAGCCTGAGGCCACAGACAACACTGACTGTGGCCGTCAGTGTGGTATACAGCCAAGCAGAGTATATACAGCAGGAGCAGGGGCTCACTGGGAACGGTGGGTTATCACTGGATAAAAGTGCTTTCAAAGTGTAATGAAATAAACTGTACAACTGACAAGCAGCATAAATAGGAAAAGTGTGAATAAAATACTGCAGTGGCAGTTTACATCATAATGAATAACTGCAGTGTGAGTGTACTTTCATTTTAGACACCTTTGTCACTTTTGTGCTGGTATAAATACAAAACCTTTATTAAAAAGGCAAAGCTGTGTTGTTTAACACTTATTCTCTAAATGTGCAGTAAAAAGCTTTAAAAACTGTAAAAGGTTTGTGTTATCAGACAATAATAGTGCAGACTGAATGAGGGATGGCAATTTAGACATTTTATTGAATGTGCACAGTTTCTACTTCCACTGTACATTTTGCATTCTTTTCTCTTAATTGTACAAGAAAAAAATCAATACTGCAAAACAAACACAAAACATGAGACTGATCTACATCAACTTGCAAATCTGGACCTTTACTGCGAAATTAAGTGACTATAAAAATGAGGGGAATGGCATAATTCAGTCAAGAGTTTCACAGCCACTTTCAGCTGGAGCCAGTTTTGGCAGTCACTTCTGCCATCTTCAAAGTCTGCAAGTATTTCTAAAAGAGAATGAACAAGGAAACAGGATTAGCCTGGAATGTTATGGCCTCTTTGTAAACAACATGTGGACATGTGCACTCACATTACAGTACGTGTCAGAAGAGTTAATGATAGAAAAAGGAAAAAATGGAAATTTGACTAGAAGAGATTTGAGTGATGATTTGATTTCACCATCAACTTGACTTTAAGGGACATCAGAGAAATAACATTTTCTTCAGTCACTCAGCGCTGGCTGTACTTGTACAACAAGCTATGGTGCAAAGTAGATGACATGATTTAAGCAGTGACCACTTTTAACCATTTAGAGCCATAACCGAGGTAGACAGGGCTCCAGACTCATTTTTCTCAGTGCCACCAGGCCTGAACTCATCCATTATCCTCCACTTCGTCTGAGGTTGAGTTGTAAGAGCGTTCTCAGTCTAGATGGGATATATAACCCCTCCAGCATGTTCTGGGTCTACCCTAGGGCCTCCTACCAGTTGGACAAGCTCAGAAAACCTCCAATGGAAGCAGCAGTACCCAGCAGACGACAACATCCATCCATCCATCCATCTTCATCTGCTTCATCCGAGACCGGGTCGCGGGGGCAGTAGCCCGAGCAGAGCCTCCCAGACTTCCCTCTCCCCAGGTGTTCCCAGGCCAGCCGGGAGACAGACTCTCTCCAACATGCCCTGGGTCTGCCCCGAGGCCTCTTCTCCCAGAGGGACATGCCCGGAATACGTCCCCAGGGAGGCGTCCAGGGCGCATCCTAAACAGGTGCCTGAGCCACCTCAACTGGTTCGGCTCAATGTGGAGGAGCAGTGGCTCTACTCCTCACAGGTGACTGAGCTCCGCACCCTATCTGGAAGAAACTCATTTCTGCTGCATTACTGCGGACACCGCACCAATCCAGCTGTCAATTTGCCGCAATCTCATTCTTTTGGTCATGATCCAAAGTTCATGGCCATAGGTGAGGGTGGGAACGTAGATCGACCCGTAAAGTGAGAGCTTCGTCTTACTCAGCTCCTTCTTCACCACAACAGACCGGTACAGAGACCGCATTACTGTGGATGCAGCACCGATCCGTCTGTCAACCTGCTGCTCCATTTTTCCCTCACTTGTGAACAAGACCCCGAGATACGACAACAACAATATTACAATTTAAGTAAAACGGTATATGGTCTCTATTGATGAAGTGGGTGCATGTTTTGTTATTATTGTACATGGGATTCATTTGTAATCTGTTTTTCTTCTAGAGAGGACTTTCTGATCTAAACTTTGTAAATGAGAATCTGATTTGGCAATGCACACTAACTTTTACTATGATACTACAGACGCACACGTAGCACCTCTTGTATTGTGCTGTTAGCTCAGCTACAACACAGGTATACACACAGTTACTCTCTCTCCAGTGGAGAAAAGCAGAGTCCGACAGTAGCTTCTCAGCAGCTGTTAGTTCCGACTCTGTCCAAGCTACGCTGAATGGTGGACAGTGTCCTTGTGACCCCTGACCCTCGGCGCCACACATCACATTGCAAATACAGGCTGGCAGAATGTGAATATGCTATAACATGTTCATTTTACAGGGCAGTCGGCGCCAACAGTGGTTAGCGCCGTTGCCTCACAGCGAGAAGGTTCTGGGTTCGGGCCCCACCTGGGACCTTTCTGTGTGGAGTTTGCATGTTCTCCCCGTGCTTGCGTGGGTGCTCTCCAGGTGCTCAGGCTTCCTCCCACTGACCAAAGACATGCAGCTTAGGTTGATTGGTGTCTCTAAATTGCCCATAGGAGTGCGTGCGTGCGTGTGTGTGTGTGTGGTTGTTCGTCTATGTGTTAGCCCTGCGATGGATTGGCGACCTGTCCAGGGTGTACCCCGCCTTCGCCCGATTGCCGGCCGGGATTGGCTCTGGCCCCACCCGTGACCCCGTTCAGGGACTAAGCGGTAGAGAATGAATGAATGTTCATTTTGCACTCACACCCAGTGAACCTTAAATAAATCTGGTTGCAAAATGCAACTGATCACTAAAAGTCTGGAGCTCTGATAAACTTTCAGTGACCATTTTTATTTCTGGACACAATCAGAACCTGGTCTCTAAAGGGTTTGCTGTTGATAAGTGAATTCAATTAAATTAATTCCTACCTGAAGGTTCATGTAGTGTTTCTCAGTTCTGCAGTGGTTGATCTCTGCTTCGTTAGTTCCACTGTAGAACCGATTACACGCCTTACAGAAGAAACCTGTCTTTGGGACCAAAAACTCCATTCCTATGGGGGGGACACAAAGAAACGAAAGTGAACTCTGTCAGCTGTTCAGTACTATCAGATAGTCAGGTACTGCAGACACACACACAAAGTCACTGATGAACAAGTGCAAAAACAACAGCAGAGGTGGTGAACAAATGCAAATGAAAAGTGTCTTACCAACTGGGTTGCTGGGGTCAAAAGGAGGGAGGGAGTAGTCTGTGCTCACAGGAGTTTCCAGCTTTAATGTCTTATTCACACTCTCTACTCTGGTGCTTGTTTGGTCTTCAGACGTCTCATGGTTTCCTGGAAAGGACAGTAAACTTTTAAAAATCTGCAACATGCACAGATGGAAGAAGACCTGGTCATGGTTTCACTCAATAATCCTAGTAGTTATGCTTTTTACAGCATGCTCCAGCTGTCTTCATCTTGGTGTTGTCATTCCAAAACACCTCGATCCCTCATGCAACTACCCACCACAATAAAATGTGCCACACTTTCATGATGAGGTAAATTAGGACAGTGCACATAATGATGATACACTGCCAACAAAAGTGAATAAGCTCAAAGTGTTTGTCATATGCACAGTTAGGAAACGTGTTTCCCTGTACAATAAAATTCTTACTTTGCCGTCCACATGAATGCCACAAAATACAAATGAAATATAAAGTAGATAAATAAGTAACAAAATCTAAGGCACTTTAAGTAGAAAATGCAGCAACATAATAAAAGAATAAAACAGAGAATGTATGCTGCATGGGAGCAGCATGTGCAGCAGTCAACAATAAATATCTGAGGCCAGGAGCTTCCCAATGCAAATATATTATCTTGCTCATTTTACACATCCACGTGTTGCCACCTAATCCAAGGATCCTGCTGGAGACGTTCTGGTCACCTGGCCTGGCTCTCTAACCGCTAAGTTCCCATAGTTCACCCACAGCTCTAGTTCAACCAAAATCAAAAAGGGCACCTGTCTCTGCAGCAGGAGCTCCCGTCTCTTTGTCCTTGTCATCCTGCATCTTCTCCTGTTCTTCTTCCACCACCATCTTCTCCTCCTTAACCTGGCTATGACTGACAGCACTGCCATCCTTCTCCTCTTGCTTACTCTCTGCAGTCACTACCCCTGTTGTTGGGCTGTGTGAGGAGTCAACTGGGGCATCTTCATGTGGGCTGCCTGAAGCTGCAGGGGCAGGTGTGGAAAGGTGTTCAACCTCTGGGATGGAGTCCACAGTGGCTATTAGTTGGGTTTCTAAAAATAAACAGAATGATATGTGGTCAGGCTAAAATTAATTTCAAAGGTTTAAACAAAGCTTGATGCCATATTTCCTTCAGTTTATAAGAGGTTACTCCAGTGTGGGGTTATACCTGTCTCGGGTGTGATCTCAGTCTCTGCTGCTTCTGACTGATGTGTGGGCACATCTGTTATACTGGAACAAGAGTCAGGTTGTGAAGCTGGTATTGGGGATGCCGCAGTGATGAGGACCGGATTGGTTGTTAAATCTGATGACAAATCATCTGAAATCTCAGCTGCTGGCACGCTCACAGCTTGGGACTCAGATTCTTGCTCATCTGATTTCACCGGGTCCACTGTGATATCTGACACGGCTCCTGTGGTAACCTCCATGGGTGTCTCCTAGAAGCAGAGGACAAGAGGAGGACAGATGTCATTACATTGTGGAAAATGAAGCCTGATCTAAATAGGTTTTATAGTGTGTGCACACACACACACACATGCACACACGCTAAAATGTACCTCAGGAGTGTCCTGTTGGACAGATGCGGGCGTGTCATCCTCTCCCTCTGTGGTTTCCACAAGGGCAGTGGGAGAAGGAGAGCAAGGAAGATCAGTCACATCTCCTACTTCATCCAATGTCACAAAGTCACTCAGGTTGAATGGGAACTCTTCCTCCTCGTTGTCCTCCTGGTTGCATGGTAGGGCAAAAATGTGCATATAATGTTAAATATAAAGAAGACATTTATTGTCCTATTTCAGCATGATGGGGATATTTACTAAACCTGTTGCAAATTACTATCAGGTGTGCAAAAAATATTGTAGAACTTTAATACGGCTGAAGAAATCAAAGACATTTGGGAAGTTCAATCGTGTAGTGCCCTGCCAGTCCAATCATCTATTATTTTATTCAGTAATTGAAGCATGGTTTGACCTGTAAAAATCGCTCACATTCTCCTCTGGTGAGCGATGCGATTTACAATCACCCTCTCCCTCCTCAAACATGTTGGCAACTCTGATGAGATGACTAACAGCTGCCACACCGACAGTAAGGTCACAAATTATACACCTCCTTCCTCCTGGTGTCAAATTTCCACCACAGTTCCCTCTGTCACAGTGGTGGTAAATTAGGTGCTGAGGATATTTGGATAAATCTGCATTCTCTCCTCCCTGATTTGTGCATCTCTGAATGTGAACGCCTTCAAATACATAATGCATGAGACCAAAAGCACAAATTCTGGTGGTGCTGCATCTCTTCTGTTTCTCCACATGCAAAACCCCACAGTGACTCTTAGTAAATACACCGATCATCCATAACATTATGACCACTGAGAGGTGAAGTGAATAACACTGTTAGAGTGGCACCTGTCAGTGTGTGGGGTATATTAGGTAGCAAAGTTGATGTGTTTTAAGCAGGAAAACTGGACAAGCATAAGGATCTGAGTGACTTTGACAAGGGCCAAACTGTCATGGTGAGATGACTGGGTCAGAGCATCTCCCACACTGCAGGTCTTGGTGGGTGTTCTTGGTCTGTAGTGGTTAGTACCTACCAACAGAGTCTAAAGGAAGACAAATGGTGAACTGGAGACAGGGTAATGAACGCCCACGGCTCACTGATGATGAGGTTGACCTACTGTAGATTAAACTTCCATTTGTACTTTTCAAAAGATTACAATTTATTTGAATCTTTGTTAAAATGGTTGAAAATGAGAAATACTGTACATTGGTCTCTGAAGAGAAAGAGTCAGGGGCTGTAGTGGTGATATCACACCTAGAGCGGTGAGGCTGTTGCATTTGTCTAAACAATTCTCTCTAACTCGTCCTCATGACCAGTTTTCACTCCTTTTACATAAGTTTTTCACTGAATTGTAGACACATCTGTGGTCTTCCTGACAGTAGAGCAGTGGAAGCAAATGGATTCACACAAGATGCACAGTGAGCTGCAGAGTGACACGAGTGCCAACCAACTGCCACATTGACTCCTATGTAAACAGTATTAGGCAGGTGGTCATAATGTTATGGCTGATCGGTGTATGAACAGGCGCAATTTCACTGTTTAGTGTCAGAAAAGGAGCCGACACTAAACAGTAAACACCGCCCTTTGACCCAACAGACCCTTCTCACCATTTTGGCATCAGCCTCTGAGGTGTCATAGTATTCATCCCTCCAGGAGCTCTGCTTATATCTCTCCAACCTGCAAGACGACCTCGATCCTGTAAAACATCCACCGTATGCTCTCTTCCGCTCCCTCCTTTCTCTTTCTCTTCTCTCCCACTGCCTTCTTTCCTCCTCCCTCTTTTCCCTCTCCCTCCTGACTCTTTCATCACGCTCCCTCTCCCTCCTGTACCTCTCCTCCTTCTCCCAGGGCCTTCGCTCCCTCTCCTTCCTTTCTCTCTCCTTTCTTGCTTCTCTGTCTTTTCTCTCCCTCTCCTGTTTCACCTCCTCCTCGGTGTGATTCTTGGCTGGCTCTTTTGTCTCCTCTCTGGCTTTTTTACCCTGCCCTGTCTCCATTTGTGTTTCCCCCTGTACTTCACAGGGAGAAACTGTTGTGTTGCTGGGATGGCTGGTGGTTTTTGTTCGGCACTCCTCGAGTAGTGCGTTAACCATTTCTTGAGTAACCTTGTGAAACAAGAATAAAAAGTAAAAATAAAAAAAATGTCAAAACTCACAGGCTTAGCTATACAGAAAACCAGTATTTCTCCAAAAACAGACTGACCACAGCACACTGACATTTTGGGGATATTTTACCTTGGGGAGCTCTGGAATTCGATTCTCCTCGGAAGCTGCTTTGTCATTGGAGCTGGGTAGTGTCGCCTCTTCAACAGCTGGAATCTTGTCATTTTCCACTTCAGATGCACAGACTTCTTCGTTCCCTTCTGCTGTCTCCATGACAGCTTGAACAGCTGACCTTTCCCTCATGTCTGTATCCAAATCTGCTTCTGGTGCATCCAAGGCAACTGCAGCATTGGTAAGCTCATCTTTTTGGATCTCATCATTTTTGCTCTTGTTTTCTTCCAAATCTTTGTTTTTATCAGCCACCTCCTCTGTGCTCTTAATCTTCGCATCCTTCCCATCAATGTCTTTGTCCATTTCCTCCATAGGAGATTCAGACTTCTCTTTATGCACCATCTCCTCTTCACCTACAGTCACTACTGTTTGGCTGCCTTTGGCATTTGCAGGTGTGCCCTATGTCCAGACACAAGGAGATATTGAGCAGTGTCACATCAAACACATGCACTAGATGTTTGACAGATGTTCAAACTTCAGGAATTCATGGTAGTAAGAAAGTCACTTTTGGCTGTTCCCATTTAGGGGTCACCACAGTGAATCGTCACACTGACGACTCGCATGTTGACATCTGGCACGTGTTTTATGCCGGATGCCCTTCCTGACGCAACCGATTCGAACCCAGGCCACAGCGGCGAAAGCGCTGCGCCTTAACCACTAGCCTACCAGGGACAGCCCGGTAGTAGTAGATAAAAATGTGTACATGTGAAATGAACAACCATGCTAATCAATTAACAAGGCTACTGACCTCAGATGAATCAATATACGCAGCAATGACTTTTGTTTGTGCATTAGCCTTGGGGTCAGGCTTGCGGGAGAAGAACAGGGGGTTGTTCTGGATGATGCAAGGGAACGTCTGAAAACGTCTGTAGACAGACAGGGCCATGGCTACAGTCGCCATCTCGCAAATGACCTGAGCAGAGAGAGATAACACCATGTCAACAGCATGCAGGATCCCTCTGGCTTATAAATAAAGAGGAAAGACATGGCAGATTTGAAGAGAATATACCTAGGACCCAGCTGTGTTTGAGGTCATGGATATTTTTTAAACAAAGGTAGCTGAGGACATAAAGGGTTAGCATGTTTGTAGCCGCCCTCACCATGTTGTTGAGCACTAGGGTCTTGATGACAGTACCAAAGCGCCGCACCAGTTTCTGGACTTCGGCAGACCCTGGTGGCGTGTCAGGAACATTACTGATCACCAGCAGGCGGCCCCAGCCTACTGGGGCAGTGTTCTCCTGCATGACACAAAGGAACCGTCAATCAGACATTCAGTGCCACTAATATATAATGCTTCACAGCCCCTTGACTTTCTGCCCCATTACAACAGTGCTTTGTTTGTTAATGTGTTTTATTAAAACTTCAAAACGTTTTTTAAAGTATTGCAAAGGTCACAACATTTTACAGGGCTGTTATTGCTTATTTCATTCTAGAGAGTGCTGCCCAATGGCTCTTCATAGGCTGAGAATAAATACAGTTGAAGTCAGATGTTTATACACACACACACACACACACACACACACCTTAGCCAAATACATTTAAACTCAAGTTTTTCACAACTCCTGACATTTAACCCTATAAACCTTCCCTGTCAGTAAGGGTCACTACTTTAAGAATGTGAAATGTCAGAATAACAGAGAAAAAGATTGATTTTAGCTTTTATTTTGTCATCACGTTCCCAGTGGGTCAGAGGTTTACATACACTCGGTAGCATTGTCTTTAAATGGTTTAACTGCAGTCAAATGTTTCAGGATGCCTTCCACAAGCTTCTTACAGTACGTTTCTGGAATTTTATCCCATTCTTCCTGACAGAACTGGTGGAACTGACTCAGGTTTGTAGGCCTCCTCTTAAAGCCATGGCATCATTGTCTGGACTTTTCCAAGCTGTTTAGAGCCACAGTCTGTGATCAATTACTTGATCAATGTCAATGTGATGAATACTTGTCATTTGTCCAACTCTGGCACTGTTACAGCAGAGTTTATGAGTTGTGTACTGTCCATGCCATATAAACTAACACAGTAAAATCTACTGGTACACATACTAACCAATGGATCCACTGATCCCATCAGCAGATTGTAGAGAGCCACCTGTGTAATAAAGAATTTTAGTATTAATAATCAGTTATTGCTCAAGTTTCATTGTTCAACACAAAAAGGGAAACAAAAAAAAAATCTTCATTACATACCTATTGAAAATCAATACACTGTAGGGCTGGGTGATATATTGTTAGGTATATCGATATAATTTCAAACGAGGTGTAAGATGAGATATCATTTATATTGATATTGATGATGCGTTGCCTAGCCCCTTTTTTCTGTCACCATTTGCATCTCTTTCACGGCCCCCCAGGTAGACTAGTGGTTGAGGCGCAGCGCTCTCGCTGTGGCACCCCGGGTTCGAATCCAGGTTGCATTAGGAAGGGCATCCGGTGTAAAACAGGTGCCAAATGTCAATATGCAAGTTGTCAGTGTGACGATTCGCTGTGGTGACCCCTAAACGGGAAAAGCCGAAAGTGACTTTCTTATTTGCATCTCTTTCGCACTCTGTGAAACCCCGCCGCCACTTCCCCTCTGCACTGCTCCACTCTTGCTCACAACATGGGAGGCTGCATGGGACACAACGCTTCTACACTACTGAAGCAGCCCTGGTTTGTAAAGGAATCTCTTCGAATCTTTTCCACCACTTACAACAGTACAAAGAGTGTGTGAACTTTGTGCAGCCACCGTAACCCTGGCTGCGAGGCCTTCGCCACCTGATAAGTCCTCTGTCTTGGAAGAAACCATGCTGCAAGCTTCATTTACCTATGGTGTGCCTTGTGAAAAGAAGATCGCAAAGATACAGTCCTTGTTTTAACAATGAGGCTTTTAAAAAATTTTGAAAACCGCTGACCCAGGATACCAGGTGCCCAGTTGCAACTACCATATTTTCCGCACTATAAGGCGCACCTAAGAGCCTTAAATTTTCGCAAAAATCGGCCGTGCGCCTGATAATCCGGTGCGCCTTATGTGTGCACTGAGTTCCAAAATCTGTAAAAACGTTGTTGTGCGGCTTTGGTAAGCGCTCCGCTTGATTGACTGTCGCACCATTTCCCGCTGACACAGGGACGTAATACGTACACTACGTACGCTGGCAGCAATAAACCAGTCTAAACCGGTCTAAGGACCCCCGAAAATGGCACCAGTGAAGAGACATGCTTATGAGGCACAATTCAAACTACAGGCTATCAGTTACGCGGTTGTAAATGGGAATAGAGCAGCTGCGAAAGAATTCAAAATCAATGAATCTATGGTTCGGAAGTGGATTTATGGGAGAAGATTGATTAAAAAATAATGTGAGTGTATTGTTAAATAGTAGAATAAAGTTCAACTAAACTCACTGTTTTGCTTCCATTACGTTTTAGCATGCGGCTTATAATCCGGTGTGCCTTATGGTGCAAAAAATACGGTACTGTGCAAGAGCAGCACTGCCAGAAATGTACACTGAGGTCAGACAATATTATAACTGGCTTAAAAGTGCCTAATTTCACACTGACAACCGATATGTGGTAAGAGGGATGTGTGAGCTGTGCTGTGGGATAAAAACTATGCATCTCCAAACCAGATATTTTCCCCAAGATCAAACTGGAGGGAGAGCTTCTAGCTGAAGCCCTGCAGGATGCTCTTACAAACTGGAAGCTCGACAAAAAGGGACTGGTTGCTACAACAACTGACAACGGAAACAACAATGTCAAAGCAGTGGAACTGAAGAAGTGGCTGAGGATGTGCTGACTTCATCCGGCCATTGGTGAGTGCAACGTGTACTGTGCTGATTGGAAAACAGATACCAGGCCTGACACACTTACAGTTTTATGTTTAATGACCATAAGAAAATCTATTTGAAATGTTAAGGCTAAACGGGAAAATGCACAATCTAAATATGCAGGGTTCGCATCCATTATTGATTTAGTTGATTTTTATCAAAATAGTTTGAATAGTAGACTATTTTGAGTCGACTAGCCAGTGAAGCAATATTTAAATGTGTAGTTGATTAATCACACAGATCCCTCTTAAATAAATAAGAAAAGAGTTTTTCAATTATATATTACAGACAAGAACACCGACTTTACCGTCTCATGTCCCTGATGTGGAACTACCTCTTGTTAAATTTGATATTCATTTTTTTATTTACATGTTTTGAAACTGCAGATTTTCAAACAGGAAATGAAACTTTGCCCGTGCATATTATGATCACAGTTAGTTTTAATAAAAATGCTTGTGACATCTCACATGCTTTTGACTTACAATTGAACATTTAGCCCACTTTGTGAAAAATACCAAGACATACAGTATATATCGGGTAACACCAGTCTGCCTAAAAATATCAAGACATGATTTTTGGTCCATATCGCCCAGCCCTAATATACTGTGGAAGAGTCAGGTTAATGATGAGAGCCCTACCGGAGTGCTGAGGCCAATACGCTGTTTGAGATGGATTATCTTCACCTCAGAGTCGTTAATCTTCGCAGGGATGAAGGTGTGGACTTTCACAATCTCTTGAGCAATCTCAGTGTCTGGCATTGATACAAGTACCTAAAGACAAAAATTATGTTTCTGATATTGTGTAGTAGGCACGTAAACTCCGTCAATTTCAACAAACATATCCTGTCATTAGAAATGGTCATTAGCTACCCTGCATAGTAGCTCACTGAAAAATAGTATTTTTTATCTATTGTTAATAATAATTACAAAAACAATAACTGAACAAAAGCTGAAAATTAATTCTGAAGACTATTTATAGCACACATAGTATTCTACATTTTGTGTTGTGCTGAAGATATTCATGATTATTTATTATGAACATTCTACTGAGCATTTGGTTTGTGGCTTTACTATCAGGAAAAGCAACCAGCTTGCAAAAATATCAAGGACTTGTATCACCTTCTTGGATTCCTTGTGCCACTGTTTTTCTTCTCTTAGAAACACTGAAAGCTTCAGATTAAACTGTGTTTATACCAACCTTTCCAACTTGTGTTGCCAGGATGATGTCAGAGGGAGTTCCAAAAGGCTGGACCAGCTGGATGATGTCACTCTCTGACCAGCCACTCTCAGGAAGTCCTGTGATCAACACCACACCCATCTGTGGGAGGTATTGAATTGGGATGTTAAGGAAAATGCCTGAATACTCTGAATTCTAGTGTTTAAACCCAATTTTGTGTTACAGTGGCTTCAGAACATATTCTGGCCCCCTTCACAGTTTAGAGTCTCACCAAAGTATGTGAATACATTTTTAAAAGAGATGTTTCAGTATTTCATTTTTACCAAATATGCAAAACTTTCTAAAACTTGTTTTCACTTTGTCAGTCGATGTGTCCCAATTCAAGGGGACCCCTCCTTCAAAGACTGATTGCGTCACAGCGTTGCCACAAGGACATCCTATTTCATTCCTGGCTCCTTCAAATACAGCAGAGAAATGCATCCTTCTTTTGCCAGGCAACAAAAGCTCCAACTAGGGGATCCTTCACAACCCACCCTATCCCACGATTCTTTGTGCACTGGCAGAGAGCAGAACAGCTGTCAAGGTTGCTAAGCAACAGGAGCGGCACTTCGTCACACAACAATAAGGACAAGAACAGTTTGTAATGTAAATAGGAAATAGTCCATAGACCATTTGGCCTTCGAAGGATGTGGTCCCTGAACTAAGACAGACAGCTATTATGATGTGTTGGTCAGTGTAAACTACTGGTCAAAAAGTGCAATTTCATGAATTTAATATTAAATCTACAACATAGATGTCCAAAAGTGAAGGGGTCAGAATATTTTCTGAAGCTACTGTGTTACAAGCTATCACATACCTCACCGGAAGCCTTCTGGTCTGCCTCACCTCCTGCAATGGGGAGTTGGAAGGGAGATGCAGGGATGGAAACAGAGGTACAAGCACTATGTTTTCATGAACACAATTATAACCCAGTCAAAGTATGACAATGCAAACTAGACGACTGTGTCTTTGCTACAGAGAGTGGTAGCTTTTAACATAACTGATATAATATAAAAAAGATATAGCTATTATACTTTAAATTGATATACCAAGCATTTCTTGACAATGACAGATTTGTACATGTTAGCACCGACTTCATTAATTAATGACCCCCAGTAACAGTTTTTGTTGCCATACCTGCATCCTCCCCAGCAGCACCCTTGTCCCAACCCAGAGAAGGTTTGCTGTGAAGTCAGAAATATTAATAGTTGAGTGCAGCCAGAAAGGATGTCAAACTAGCAGTGAGGGGTTAAAAAGGAAAATGGTGTCATTAACTGTGACAAACCTGTTGTTGGCATCAGAAGACTGCCCTCCTTCAGGTTTCTACAATATAAATAAATACGGTAACAGAGTGTACATGAGACTACATACATGTGGTCTATAATTTCACAAAAGGAATTTAAAATACATATAAAATATATACAATACTACATGTAAATTGGCATAATATACTGTAGTTAATGTTATTCAATCTTTAACACCGCTTGGTACAAATCAAGATTTTTTTTACAAATGTTGGTGAACTTGTTTTGTATTATGTTTGCTACATCTATGTACTATTTTTAGCTCCGTGTGTGTATCAATCAAGCTAGTGGTGCTACACGTTAACTACCCAAGTCTGAGAGGTTTGTCCTAGTTTTACTGGGTAAACAGATCGAGGGATATAATATTTGGCTTTGTGTGTAAACTGTTAGAAAACTCAAAGGCATTAGGCAGCATTATACATTTTTATTTTCTGCTAGAGGTGATGCTGATAAAATAATAAAACTACAGCACCTTTCAAGGTAAATTAACACATAAAAGGTATACTCTTCTGTTTTCTCCTTAATACATCCACGATTCCTCTTAATCAACATTGACAGAGCTGATCAGGTGTTTGCACATACACTATCTAAATTGTTATAAAGGTGCATAATAACAACTAGTGCCAATGCAGCAGTGTGAAATATCTCTGCATATTTCCCTTAGATAGTTCTACAAGCATCTGCACTTTTAAGTTAAACCTGTATATTAACAGATCCACCAAACCACAGTTTGTAACATTCAGGCTGTATACACAAGCACAAACATAGCCTGTAACATGTCACTTGGTCATTTTGAGACTGGAGCTACAATGCTTTGGTGTTGGTGTTGTAGAGTTAGCTGAAAAGTTGTTTCTGGTACACTTTTTCTTCACAAACTACATCAATAAAATTGTCAATTTGAAATTGAACTGGGTAAATTACAGCAGACTGTATAATAAAATAAATTACCTGTATTCTTCTACAAATAAACTTGGGTTTACTACACAATTCTTGTAAAAATGTGTTTTTCTTTTCTCTTTAGTGCTCCACAAATAATAATAAAAAAAAAATCATCTTATTTTGAAAAGCTTTGTGTGTTCTGTGTGTTGGATAATGATATTCCATGAATATCAATGTCACATGCAAATATCTTCCACATGGTACCTTGGCTAGTGAAGCAGTGATTTGCTGGTCTCTGATGGAAAGATTTATGGAGTTAGCCACAGCCTGAGCATCTTCAGCCCTCAACATGCATACAGATGCCTGAAACAGAGGAGGATAAAGTGAGGATGTGGGACTGACTGAAACCAGGATGTTGTTCTGCAACATTCTAATTCAGGAAACCTCCATTACTCACTTATCCACTGCTAGGACACAGGAGTAACAGATAAAGAGACCGGCCACTATTCTAATTATTTGCGGGCCTTTGGTAAGCTGCATTTATATTAATAAAAATTAAGAATTGGTAAATTTTACTATGCAATACAGAAAATAAGCTATTTCAACACAGTGGCCAGAACATTATTACATGTTCTGTGACATACAAAGCCTTTGTCATCAAAAGAGAGTGTGACTTCCTACATAACATCACAGTAAACTGGATGACTGAGAATCTGCACAGACATAACATCACAGTATCAGCCCCAAATAGTATCAGTTTGAACTGGCTTCAGTCTTGACATCTGTGTTAATGCCGACTCTCTACTTTGCTAATATTTTGCCTTTCAACAAGCAAACTGCTTTTTAACCAGTATCAAAACTGGAAAACAAAACAAAACAAAGCAAAAAAAAAACTCATGTCCACTGTCTGGAAAAATGCACCAATATCCGCTGTGTTAGACTTAAATAACACCTTTTGTCTTTCGCCCTTCTCTTCCTCGGAGCATGGCATGAGGATCACGTTATTGATCCTGCCAAAGGACCCAACCAAATCGGTAACTTCCTGCTCTGAGGCATCATTTGGGATGCCTGTTAGATAAACCAGGCGATCTGCAACAGACAAGTGCTGGGAGGCTGGAGTCACCACTTTCTTCTTTTTCTTCTTGGCTGGTGGAGGCTTGGCAGTCTAGAAACCAATGGTTTACGTTTTGGTTAGTTTTAGAAGAAATCATCAACATCTGGTTTTCTGGTCTCTGAGTCAACAACAGGCAAACCAATGTAACCTTTTTTCTACTTTTATGAAGTACTCAAGTGTGAATTTTCATTCACACTGTCAGTGTGAATGTGCTTAAGAGAATAATGAAGTGACTGATGAAAAAGCCCAGCTTCCTTAAAAAATTGCATTAAACTTTAGTCAACTCTAGTCATTTTATCAAAAATCAGGCTCAAGCATCCAAAAGCTTCATCAGTGGAATTAACATAGCACACCTAAATGGAGTTAAACGGATCTATTGTACTTGTTTCAAACATTCAATCGATTTTGGGACTATTACCCAAGAGTGTCTCTGGACATACTTAAAAGGAACGCGCTCAATAATAGTCATATTAGGAATAGTCCAGCAGTTTACCAACATGAACCAGTCATTATTCCACCTTCAATAATGAATTTGTCAGTAAGCCAGTATAGGAACTTGGTTAACACACTTGCAGGTGTTGTTCTGTTCACTTCTTGATGGTCACAAGTGTTTTTTAGGCAGAACATAAGGTGTTTAATTCCACCAAACACTTTGAAACAGCTGTATAGTCCTGACTGGCTCAGGACAAAGGAAAGGGCTCTGAATTCTCAACACTTCAATATTATCCATCTTTTGCTTTAATATATAATTAGGAACTGTGCCTTGTGTGTCAAGTACATAACTAAAGTGAATAACACCCACTGTGTCAGGGGCCGTGGCACTTGCCCTCTTAGTCATCTTGGTTCCAGGCTTCACCCCACTCTTGATAGTTTTGGTGGACTGTGATGATCCATATTTGGAGCTTTGACTCGCCTTGTTAGAGAAGGGATGCTGATCGGCATCAGTGAAGCACCTGACTGAATCATCATGTGGACGCTTCACACCACTACGAGAGGCAACCCCTGAAGACACATGAGAGTACAAGCAAATGATGAGAAGAAATATTCACAAATAGCATCATTCAATTTAGTCAATTTTCAAATAGCTGAAATAGAAGCAAATTACATCCTTGCATCTGAAAAGGTGAAGACATCAAATGTTTAATTTTATTTAACCAGGAATTCCCATTGAGATTAAGATTTCTTTTTCAAGGGAGACCTGGCCATGATGGCAGCCATACAAGTGTACACCATATTAAAATTTAATCCCGTACTTTCTGGACTATAAGCCGCTACTTTTGTCGCTTCACGCACACACCCTCATCATGGACAACACACGATGAAATGCACATGATGCCGCTTCAAGTTACAGGCGATCGATCTGGCTGTCAAAATATCTCATGTTACAACGTGGACACCTGCGGCTATGTACAACATGTTTTTTCATCTTACATTTAGTGGGTGCGGCTTATAGTCTGGAAATTACGGTATGTATAACGCAAACAAAAATTCCATTCACAAGATTAAAACAAGAGTCTCAAGAAAAACAGCTGCACATCTCCTTCACCACATTCTATGAGGTCCTTAAATTCTGCAATGGATATGAATGTTTCCAACTATAAATCTTTCTGCAAGTTACTCCATGACCATGACAGGAAAATGACATTTTCCCCAGACTAGTAAAAATTCGAGGTACATTAAAAAGCAACTACATGGAAAAGACCATCTGGTTGTATACACAATATGAACCTTTCTGACTTTGCCAATATTAGATTATACTGGTTTGTGACACCAGGATATGCTGTTTACATGTGCAAACAGGCATTCTACAAACACTAGAGGGCTATTCAACAAAAGTAGAACAAAGAAATCTAGGATAACATAAAAAGCGAGGCTTGACCTTAGTGCATCCTGGCTATGTATGTTTCACGAAGGCTAAGCCAAGTTGAGGAGGTGTAGCTAAGTGAAGCCAGGTCTAAGTAATTCAGAAGAATGCATGTTCAAGGATTTCTTGTCTGCTTCGATGTTGTTCTTGTTTTTATGTTCTTTATTTTATGTTATAGTCCTTTGTTTCCATTCTATTTACTTATGTATAACTGTCATATGCCTTAATAAAGTATAAATAAATAAAAAAAAATAAAATAAAAATAAAAAAAAAACGTTCAAGGATTTCTTCACCAGAACACAAGGTCAAGCACAAATTCACTGATGCTCACACAAAAGCTGCGTTCCATTTACCCATTCCGGCACGCCATATATTAAGTAGTGTAGTGAAAATGAACGGAGATCACGGCCAACTGGCACCATGCTAGTCGGGTTTTCAAGCACACCCATCGAAGGTGCATGTGGAATATTTCAGACCCAGTAATCATATCACCTACTCATGGATGCTTATGGGGAATTCAAACAATCTGTAAAAACTGAAACAAGGCTGGTGTAATAAAACAGTGAGAAGAAGTGTGGCAGGGTGTAGCTCACCGGCTGAATGCATTAAGTCATCTAAAATATACATTTACTAACCACTGTTCTTAACACTAACAATATGTTACTCTGGAAATATACCATGAAGAACCACTAATCCACAACCTAAATGCATAAATACGGTGAAATGAGGCCTGTTCCTTCTTACATAGCTAAAACCTTACATAGCTAAAACTGTCAACTTACTTCTAAACTTGATAAATCCACAAGTAGAGCTTTAAGTATAGGTCTATTCTGGGTGACTGAGGTCTGATATTATCAATAATAACTAGCTATGTTTTTATTTCAGTGTTCTATTTAATACAGCCTATGTAATATTAATGTAAATGTGAATCAGACTGAATTCATTCATTAAAAATGTTTTAAATGAAAAGTGGCCCTATGTGGCTCCAATCGTACATAAGCCAATGATCAAAGTGACAAGACAATTTCTTGAATTTGGAATTTAAATAATTTGCAAAAATTAAACTGTGAACATGAATAAAATCGGTTTTATCATTGAAAGCACAGTCTTTATGTATTAGACACAGCCGATATGAGTAATGCAATTATCAATTCAACTAAGGATTTTGGTGGCTGAAAACATAAGCTATGTGACAACACTTCTGCCATTTTAGTTGATTTCCCATATCTATATTGTGTGTGTATAGATAGAGGACTATACAGTATACTTCCCTTATCGCTGACTTCATTGAAGACACCTTAGCAACATTATCAGCCATCTCTAATTACTTCAACAGCTGTGTAGGTGAACACAGAAGAACTCCCTTCCCTTCAACAAATGACTTAAAAACACATCATTCTTCACATTCAAGGGACATAACAGTGGAGAAAAACATTTTTGAGAGGAAGGCAACTTTAAATAGACAAACCAACTAACCTGATGATTCCCTGTCTCTCTTGTCAGGTCGATACTCTCTGGAGGTCCGACGTGAGTGAGGGGGACTGTGTGAGCCAGAGTGGTGGCGCTCCAACTGATGGCCATGTTCTTAATATAGCAAATGAAATGGGTCAGTTTAGAAGAATGTATACCAGGGGTGCCCAATATGTCGATCGCGATCAACCGGTCGATTGCAAAGGTAGATCGCATGCCATTCAAAAATAAATTAGATGTATCTGCCGTAAAACACGTGCCAAATGTTAACATGCGAATGGTCAGTGTGACGATTGGCTGTGGCGACCCCTAACGGGAAAAGCAGAAAGTGACAATCATTCATATATAGCCTATCATCCATCCTCCCTATGGCATTTGCTACTTGATTGACATGCAGGG